CAAGCGTCAAACACATGATCAATTTTCAGTTGTCAGTTCCCTAGTAGGTGTAATTGAAACCAAGAGAAGAAGAAGTTAGAACACTACTCAAAACAAGAGACTGACTCTCAGCAGCTTAAAGCAGATGATGTTAACTATAATAAATAATTATTGCCACATTCATTCTAGACTTGCAGTTATGCCAAGTATTGCCTCCCACCACCCCCTCCCAGAAAACCCAACATGGAATGTTCACAAGAGGGAAAAGGGGAAAAAAAAGTAGACTTGTTTTTTGATGGGGTGCAATATCCGTTCATAACACTCAAAATTGTCAGGCACTGTAACATTCTCTACGCTCACCTGCAACACTGTAAGCAAAATATAATGTGCTGAATACCTTTGAGAGGAAAATAGTGTTCACATCAGGGCTAGTTTTGAATGCCTGGAGAATTTTTGTCCTCTCGAGATGGCTGCACATCACAAGGGCAGATTGCCACTCAATAATATATATAAATACAAAAAAGATAAGACTTCAGTAAGCAATTGAAGTTCATAAACAACCTGGTAGCACCATAGATCATGGGCTTGCGTAGTTTCATTGCATACTCAGTCAGTGCAAAAAGATTGTCAGCAAAGACAATTATCTTATCACCACGCTCCCGTTCATGGAACCGTATGAGAAACTCACATGCCCTGAACTTGTTAGGATTCATCACATAAAGCGCCTGAAATGCAACAGAACCATTAGAGTGTAACAAAAGGAAGGAATTCACTAGCTCATGAGCCCTATATAAGATCAATAATGTAACTGTTGACTACTTGAAAAGCAATGTCCAGGTGTTTTTATTAAAAAGAAAAAATAAAGTGAGCAAATTAATATATTGAATTCCAAATAAGTACTGTCAGAACAGCAAAACTCATAAACAACCAACAAATTAATGTGAATAATTTATATAACCGAACCTGTTTCTTCTTGGAATTTTCTTTCTTCAAATATTCAGCAAAAAACTCCTTTGTCATTGGGCACCATACTTCAGCGCACTGAACATTTGCTATAAACCCTCCTTTTACTAGATCCAGCCAATTTGCTTCATACAATTTGGGACCAATAAGGAAGTTCAAATCTGTAATTCTTTCATCCTCTCTCACAAGTGTGGCTACAGAATATGATTCAAATATTCACAAGAAGCAGCTGAGAGCTAAGATGTACAGAAGCAAAAAATTTTTTTTTTAGGAAGTACCAGTAAGCCCCAGTTTGCAGTGGGATTTTGTGAGACTGATAACTTTCCTAAACATGTGAGCAGGTACAACATGCACCTGCCCAAAAGAGATTGCTTTCTCTCAATGCATATAAAGTCAAAAAATTCCTTATAGGTATGGAAACGAAGTGAATAATGAGAATTAATAATTACCTCATCCATGAGCAGCAGTCCCCATTCTCTGTTTCTTATCTCTTCAATGATCTTTTCAGATTCTTCAGACCGCTTACCACCAAAAGCAACCATATTATATGTTGTCACAACCACTCCAGCATTGCCACGGAATCTCTCTTTGCTGTCAGATGTAAAACGACAAATTTGTTCATCCCGTATGGTTGACCACAGCTTAAACTGAAAGGCCCACTGATCCACTGAAACCGCATTCGTTGCCAAACAAAGGCAACTCTTCTTTATTCGGCTTGCTGCAGAAACACCAACTAGAGACTTTCCGGCACCACAAGGTAGCACAATAATACCGGATCTCGCTCTACCTGCACGATAATATCGAAATTCAAGGGAAGTTGCTCAGGTCCAGAACTTAGCTTGACGCCAACAAAACAACAATGAAAGTTCCTTTGCTTTATATTTTTTCAATATATAACAATAAAAACAAGTTATAGTACTTCAAGAATTTTAAAAAATAGGATGCTAAAAGTGCTCTATCAAGCACAACAACAATCAGCTGAACAAATTATAATAACAATAATCTCACCATTTCCAAACATTTTACTAAGACTCTTTTCCTGATAAGGTCGTGGCTGTGCATGAGGCTTCAGTTCCATGTCAAGGTCAGGATTGACCTACAAGTCAAAGGAACAATAAAAACTCCAAGTAAATATCTGGATCCGGATAATATGAACTCAGTTGCCACCTTAAAAGCCACTTTATTATTAGTGTCAAGAAAATGATAATGTTACTCACGGTGTCATTTCTGAAATCATACTCCTCTAACATTGGATAATTTAAAGCATTTGGCAAGCATCGTTGCTTTACATTTTCAACCTGTCAAAGTACAAGGTAAAATATTTATATATAGCATAATCTCATACCATAAAGATCCAGTGGAAAAACTGCAACACTACTAATTTTCATCAACCTATAAGCAAAGAATCTTCTAATCATACGGTCCCTCTAACAACATTCATTTCAGCATCACCAACTTATTTCTACAATAAATAATAATAGATATGCACATGCTAAAAGATGACTAAAGAGAACTCAAATACCAACATAGAGGTTGGCCTTAAAAGCAATGAAAAAAAAAGGCAGCCCCTGCAGGCATGCTCTACCTAAAGTGTTTTACTTCTAATTTGTTGAAAGCTTAACACGACTAACAATTGTATCCTCAACAAAATCATGCAACATGAACTAGAAATATGAAGTAAAATAATTCAAAAATAAAATACCTGAGAAGGATCAATTTCAAATGCATGGGTTTCTTTCTCTTCAGCAGCAGCTGCCAGTTCTGCTTCGTTAAGCAAACCATCATGGCCAGTTTCAATTTCACCAGCAGTTTTGCTGATTGTAAATCCATCACTTCCATGTACCTTCTATACAGTACCCATTATGGATTGATTAAAGACACAATCCAGAAGGGGAAAAATATAAAAAGGGATAATCGAACATCTCCTTAGAAAGTAGTAAAAGAAAATGAAAGCTAAGAAAATAAGTGACAAGCATCTAGAAGAAATATGACAATCAACAAAACCAGCTAGTTAACAATAAACAATCCCCATAGAAGCCCTTGAGGGGGCCACCTCCAAATAGAAGAGTGGATCAAATGGATCCAATTGAGTCTCAATGTTTATCCTAAATCATTATTCATGGTTGGCATTGAAGATAACGCTATAAAGAAGTAGCTTGAGATTTTAAGTGAAGGACCAGATTGCTGTACAAAGCACGGCAGAAACTGATTTGCATAAGAGGATACCATTTAGACCAAAAGCTTGAGCTAAACTTGGAAGATATGAATAATAGAATAACCGCTAAAAGAAGGCTGAGCTTATGACTCATACGCAATTAAACAAAATAAATCAATAAACTCAATTCACATTATGTAACAAACCTCAGAAACAATCCTTGCTCGAGCTATAACCTCATCTTGAAGCAGCTTCTTCAGTACCTGCAAGGATCAACATCACCAAATAATCAATACCATAAATTCCAATAAATTACAAAATTTACCAAAAACACAAAAGAACAACAAACTAGCCTCTGGGAATGGAGATTCAATAAAGTAACGATTCTTCTTAAGCACAAGCTTCACTTTGCCATAATTAGCAGTAGAAGCATGTATGAAATCAATCATTTCCTTAGGAAGCTTAGTCTTGGACAATTTATTCAAGACAGCAATAATAGTTTCCGTTTCCAGCCCCACAGATACCGCAGCATACAAGGAATGCGGTGTTAGATTGTACTCGTGCATTGACTCTGGCCTATAAAAATTGAAATTTCACATCCATATAAAGCTACACAATAAGCACACAATAAAATTTAAAATCACATTTTGTTTATGGAGTCAATACCTGCAAACGGGTTCAGCTATAGCAATGAGAAAATCATAAGCTTGCTTGTACAAAGGAGAGGATGTCTCCAAGAATATACGGCCATCAGCACAAGCCCACAATGGCCGATTAGCGTGATCAGGTTTTAGTTCTAATTTGCTAAAATCCCTTTTCTTTCCTTCCTTTTCACCTTTCAAATTAATCATAAAACATCAGGCCAAAACAATTGGAATTCAATCCAGATAGATTATAAGTAAAAAAGAACAAAAAATTGGGTACCATCACGAGAATCTTCATCCCCTTCAGGATAAAAGGAATATTCATCTTCAACAGCTGAGCTTCTGTGATCATCCTGCAAAAAAAAAAAAAAAAGCTTTAGTAAAGAAAAAGAAATAAATCACATAAATTTCATACAAAAAATTGAGGACTTCGCTGACCTTGACAGCAAACTTACGCTTTTTGCTGGGTCGACCCTTTTCACCTGGGAGAATCATTAAAATTTAAAACTCATACAAAATGTAAAAAAAAAAAAAAAAAAATCAGAACAGAAAATTTTGGGAATTTTTGTTTTGCTTTATTACCATGTCCCATATTTGCTTTATATAGGTTAGAAGAACAGGTTATATTTTCGGGCTTTAGTCTTTCAGAGATCGAAACAGTTTTCTGCTTGTTTTTCTTTTATGAGCTACTTCTGTTGGAGAGAACAGTAATATCTGAGAATTCTGAAAAGAGATCACAAAGGTTATTTGTTCGGCTTTCAGAGATCATAAAGCGCCTCATTTATTGTTTTCAAGGGTTGGGTAAACTCCAAACGCAGCGCTTTGATGCGGACTTTTTGTTACCGTAGGTCCAATAAAGGTTTGGATTTCATGGCCCATTAATGGGCCCAATAAACAGCAGTTAAGTCGGTTTCGAAAAAAATAAAAAGGTACTGCAACAAAAAGAATAAAATAAAAAGCAAACCCCAATCGCAGCTTTTTGATAAGGATCTTTTTGTTACAGTTGGTCCAATTAGGGTTTGGATTTCACAGTCTTCATGGGCCCAATAAACAGCATTTAAGTTGGTTATTAAAAAACGAATGAAAGGATTTACCATTCCCAATCCAAACCCTAACCGTAACTCTGATTGGACTAAGGTCTATTATTAGGGGCTCGAAAAAAGGCCGTTTTCTTTTCCCTTTGTTAGCGGCGACTCACAGAAGCCCAAATGTGTTTGGAGTTAACGGCTCCATAAATTGGCCCAACAACCAGTCCAGTTACCAAAAATTATACAGCGATTAAATTCAGCTTTCCAATTCTTTGAAAAAACATCGATCTGGTTTTCTCTCTCTTGCGGTTGTTTACCATTGTTTCTGTTTACTTTTTTTCGTTTGTCGACTCCAATCAACAACAACAAGAGGAGATCTCTGAGAGTGAGGAATGAGCGGTCACGATTCCAAGTACTTCTCGACGACGAAGAAGGGAGAAATCCCTGAACTCAAGGAAGAGCTCAATTCTCAGTACAAGGTACCTAGTTATTAATCCATCCACCTCTTTTTTTTTAATATTCCTTTCTTGATCTGCTCTTTTTGTTCGTTAGGTTTTCGATTTCATAGATCTTGAGTGGATTAGTTCGTGTTTTTTGTTAGATCTGTTGGATTTCCTTTTAGATTTGTTCTTTGAAGTCGTCTATTTGCTGTATTGTGTTTTATTTAGGTAAGTTTTAGGCTTTTATTTGGATCAATTGCGAATTATGAAAAATAGCCCGAAATGGAAAGAGAGATTCAGTTTTCTTGATTAGGATTAATGATACTTTTCATTGGGATTAGATTTATAAATGAGTCAAAACTGAATTTTAACTGGAATTTTAACTGTAATACAATTTCAATTCTCTTGATTTTGCTGTCGTTAACTGAGTTTTCTGAAGAATTTTTTTTTTTTTAATCTTGTAGTTCTTAGCATGTCAAAGGTGTAGAAACTGTACCGATTGGAATTTGAATGCGTATTTTAGCATCTCTAGTTTTCTCATCTTATAGGATTGTATCATGCCTTTTTTTTTTGTGTTATGAAGGATAAAAGGAAAGATGCTGTGAAGAAGGTAATTGCTGCAATGACAGTTGGGAAGGATGTGTCATCGCTTTTCACAGACGTGGTGAATTGCATGCAAACAGAGAATTTGGAGCTGAAAAAGCTTGTTTATTTATATCTTATAAATTATGCTAAAAGCCAGCCCGACCTTGCAATTCTTGCAGTAAATACCTTTGTAAAGGTATGCAATTTGTCATGCCCTTCATCTTTACAATTTATAATGGCTTAAAAGAAAGAGTGTCTTTTTTCCATTTGGCATGGATGTCGAATGATATGGACATGTAAAATCAGAAACATATACGTTGACTAAGATACTGGCTTATTTTCATGCTCTGTCTATGTATTCTCAGCTTCAAACCTTTTAGGAATGTAGTGAAGGATTCCTCAGAGTTTGAAAGTGATTGTAAATTATTTGTGTGAAACTGATTTCTCACTTACAGGGGGAAAAGATGTCTCTTCTCCTAAAACAGTGGTACATGATTATGTTTTATTAATTTCATAGTCAAACAAGTCCGTGAAGTGGCAAAGGAAAAGGGGTCACATAGATGAGTAAATAGCTTATAAATCTTTAGTCTTTATGGTTCATTTCCCTTCTTCACTTGTGTTGATTTTCATTGATTTTTAGGGGAAAATAATGTTGATATCATTCTGGAGTTAAAATAACAGCGCTGGTAACATGCTTATCAGTTATCATAGCATTCCTTTTCTGATACAAATACATGTATTTGTTCTTTTAGCATTTATTTTCTATTACACGATGTCTCTTCTGATGTGAGCACATTAGGCAGATACAAAATTTGTAGCATATATATTTGTGGTTGACAGTGTCTTTATTATGGAAAAGAAGTTCAAAAATCGGCACTTCTGACCTACATATTGTCATCATTTCTGCCTCAAACGATATAAAGCATAATAAGGAGTTAGGATTACATGTTATGTTTTATTTGGAGTCATGTTTGTGTTATGGTTTTTGCTGATGATGCTTTATAAATCTCCAATGAACTTTTGCTTTATGAGTATATATGCAGGATTCACAGGATCCAAATCCTCTCATTCGTGCTTTGGCTGTTCGGACTATGGGATGCATCCGTGTTGATAAGATCACAGAATATCTCTGTGATCCCCTTCAGAGGTGCCTCAAGGTTGGTTCCTGTTATAGTATATACTACTAATTTTTAGCAATTCTTTCCTTTTTTGGTTTCCAACATCATAGACTTGCTTTATGCAAGTAACACCCTTTATTATTTATTTCACTTACCGTATATGACATTTTAACAGGATGATGATCCATATGTTCGGAAGACAGCTGCCATATGTGTTGCTAAACTTTATGACATAAATGCTGAGTTGGTTGAGGATAGGGGTTTTCTGGAATCTCTCAAAGATTTGATATCTGACAACAATCCAATGGTTGTAGCTAATGCTGTGGCAGCTCTTGCTGAGATCCAAGAGAATAGTAGTAGACCAATATTTGAAATCACTAGTCACACGCTTTCAAAGCTTCTTACTGCTCTTAATGAATGCACAGAGTAAGTTAAGAGGTTTGAATAGGATGGTGGTGCTTCACCACCCCCCCCCCCCTGCCTAATTTGATAATTGAAAATGATTACTTACAATCAGGCCTTTACTATATGGTTGACCTGTCTTTCTAATTGCTGCAAAAGGCAGATCAATAGGATTTTGGTATTTTAGATTTTCCATTTCTGGATGTTATGATTTATTTCTCAAAAGTGAGTTTATATGTAATTAGCATAGTTTTTGAGATATGTTGCTGACGTGTAATCTTCCGACATGATAGCTTGAGCAAGTCACTAATCTAGTGGCTGTTTATATTTGTTGAATTTTGTCTGGGAACCTTATGCTTTACCCATCTCATTCTGACAATGGTGCATGTCAGGTGGGGTCAAGTTTTTATACTTGATGCTCTCTCTAGATATAAGGCAGCTGATGCTCGTGAAGCAGAAAATATAGTGGAGAGAGTTACGCCACGACTTCAACATGCTAATTGTGCTGTTGTACTTTCAGCTGTTAAGGTGACTTTTGTTTCCCATTCAATAATTTGCTTCAACATCAGTATTGTCCTTTTATCTATCTACTTATGAGCATTCAATAATTTTGTGCCTTCCAGATGATTCTTCAACAAATGGAACTTATAACTAGCACTGATGTTGTCCGGAATCTTTGCAAAAAGATGGCCCCTCCTCTTGTGACATTACTCTCTGCCGAACCTGAGATACAATATGTCGCGTTGCGGAATATTAACCTTATAGTACAAAGGCGGCCTACAATTCTTGCCCATGAAATCAAGGTGGATTGATGCGGGATAAAACATGTGCACGCTTGGCTGTACATATGCATCAACACTTTTGCATGACAGCTTGATTTGTATGCTTCAGTATCAATTATTAGCCTTGAATGTGTGCTTATCAAACACTTATTCTTGCTAGGTATTCTTCTGCAAGTACAATGATCCAATTTATGTGAAGATGGAAAAGTTAGAAATCATGATCAAGCTTGCTTCTGACCGAAATATAGACCAGGTATCCAAATTTGGTGTGATGGACTTATTGATATTGGTAGTTTTTTCTACTGCATTTAAAACATATTATTGTTGGTATAAAGTCATAATGTTGAGATGTTCTTCGGTGGATATGTTGTAGGTTTTATTGGAGTTCAAAGAATATGCCACAGAAGTAGATGTAGATTTTGTCAGAAAGGCCGTTCGTGCCATCGGTCGCTGTGCTATCAAATTAGAGAGAGCTGCTGAACGGTGCATCAGTGTTCTGCTTGAGTTGATCAAGATTAAAGTAAACTATGTTGTTCAGGAGGCTATTATAGTTATCAAAGATATCTTTAGAAGATACCCTAACACGTATGACTCATTTTTTACACTTCTATTTTGTGTTGGAATATTATCCAAAATATAAAAATCATGTCATTACATTTCTTAACAGTAACAGAAACCTCATGTTTAAACCTTGAAAACCCTGCTGACGATTTCCTACTAACCTTCACAGGTACGAATCCATCATTGCAACCCTCTGTGAGAGTTTGGACACTTTAGATGAGCCCGAAGCTAAGGTACCTTTGTGTTACAAGTTGCAAAAAAATTAGTACAATGTTTTCTGTTACTACTGTTAAATTTTTTACTTAGCTCAAATTTTTCTCCTCTTTACGCCCTCTCTACTAAGGCATCAATGATATGGATAATTGGAGAATATGCGGAAAGAATTGACAATGCAGATGAGCTCCTTGAAAGCTTCTTGGAGAGTTTCCCTGAAGAGCCTCCCCAAGTTCAACTTCAACTGCTAACTGCAACAGTCAAACTTTTTCTTAAGAAGCCAACTGAAGGGCCACAGCAGATGATTCAGGTCTTGTATTGCATTCTTCATGCATATTGTCAGTTATCTGTTCTGGCTTTATCACTTTTGCACATGCAAATATTTCACTAACGGTTTTATTATCTATGATTACACATTATTATCTTACCCAAAAACATTGTCTATCTTTCTGTATTTGCAATTAACTATTAAGAAAACTAGCCTAGAGGGATGCAGGTTGTATCATTTTCTATGGAACACACAAACATAGTATCTTACACACAACATAGCATTCTTTGCCTTAATTATCTGGTTATACAAGTTGCACTAACTGCTGATCGTTGTTTTGCTAAAAAAAATGCTTATTGTTGATGTAATTTATGGAACATTTGAATGTCTGGAGAGTTAGTGTATATATTTTTCTTGACCATTTATCTAACTCTGTTCCACTGCAGAGATTGATTTTTCTGGTAAACAAAGTAAAGTTTGTGATTTTCAAAATTATTTTACAGCTTGTATATCCCATTGTCAATACAAGATCCTAGTTGTCTGAAATGAAAATTGCATAATTATTATGGTTAGAGTTATCAGCATTGTACTTGCCATAGTTTTAGTAGCATCTTTCACTTGCTCTTACTTTGCTATTTTGTATCATCTTTGAGACATCAAGTTCCAGCTAACTTTCATATTGTTGGGTTTTTTTATAGGTTGTATTGAATAATGCTACTGTGGAAACAGACAATCCTGATTTACGGGACCGTGCATACATTTATTGGCGCCTTCTATCAACTGATCCTGAGGTATGGTTTTATTCTAACCAATTGTAGTTCATTATTCTATGAATCTAATTTCCAAAATTTGAGGAATCATTTTTCACTGTGGTGACATTTAATTTTCATTGCCTTTTCTTGCCTTTGAGGGGAAGGTCTAGATAAGTATTTTGCTTGAAGTGCCTTCATCTCAATTCTGAGTACCGCTTTTAAAACAGGCATACTATATGATTAAGCTTAGCTTTAGGATGCCTTTCACCATAGCTGCATGAGTAGCTATGTGAGTCTTTCTATTTAAGGATTTCTCCTCTCCCAATGCGATGGTCTTATCTCAGAATCCAGCCAGAACCCAATGTCAGGGTAAAGGGGGTTGCAATAGATAGCATTGTTGAATACAGTTATCATTGTTGACATGACTGTGTCATTACAGGTACATCTAGACCGCGTACCAGAAGTTTTAATTTAGTTGTGCCTTTCTATTTGTCCTCTCAGGCAGCTAAGGATGTTGTGTTAGCTGAGAAACCCGTGATAAGTGATGATTCAAACCAACTAGATCCATCTCTTCTTGATGAGCTTCTTGCCAACATCGCCACATTATCTTCTGTGTATCACAAACCTCCAGATGCTTTTGTAACCCGCATGAAGACTGCAACTCAGAGAACTGAAGATGATGACTACCCTGATGGAAATGAAACAGGGTATTCTGAATCACCTGCTAATGCTGCTGATGGTGGATCATCACCGCCAACTAGTTCAAGTAGTGTCCCGTATGCTGCAGCTAGGCAGCCAGCTCCAGCCCCAGCCCCAGCCACTCCTGCACCTGCTGCTCCAGTTCCTGATTTGTTAGGTGATCTGATTGGCCTTGATAATAATGCAATTGTCCCTGCTGATCAGCCAGCCACACCTTCTGGGTAAGTATGCTGGAATGACTGAATTCTTTTGCTAGGTTTTCAGATAAAATTCTCATTTTAGCTGCCAGAATATTTTTCTACAATTGTGATAAATATTTTTAAAATATTTAAAGTTTTTAACACTAAACAAGTTTCTAGCTTTTCACAGATTTCTTATGTTGTTGGAGTTATGCATGTAGGTTATGCATACATATATATGTGCCTATATGTTGCACTTACTGTATTTTTTTTTTTTTTTTGGCCTTGATTGCAGCCCTGCCTTGCCTATTTTACTACCAGCATCGACTGGACAGGGTTTGCAAATCAGTGCACAGTTAGCACGACAGGATGGTCAAATATTTTACAGTTTACTGTTTGAGAATAACTCACAGGTCACACTTGATGGATTCTTGATTCAGTTTAACAGGAATTCATTTGGTCTGGCAGCTGCTGGACCTCTTCAGGTAATTACGAGTTGTGTTGTCTTTAGTTAGTTTGTTATTGTGTTATTGGGGTTTAATCTATACTGTCTATTAGGTACACCCATTGGCACCGGGAGCATCAGCAAGGACATTGCTGCCTATGGTATTGTTCCAGAATATGTCTGCTGGTCCTCCTAGCTCTCTTCTGCAGGTTGCTGTGAAAAATAATCAGCAGCCAGTCTGGTACTTCAATGATAAAATCTTGTTGCATGTGTTGTTTACCGAAGATGGGAGAATGGAGCGAACTAGTTTTCTCGAGGTAAGAAGTTTGATCCATATTGCTTTGGTTTCTTGTGGTACAAAGTTGTCAAAGCCCCCTACATCTGAAGGATGTTCACTGCTGAAAGGTTGATTTCTCCAAGTCCCTTTGGAGCATGGCTGGCCATCTGTCATGTCTCTTGATCTTCCCTCCCCAAATTTCCAAAGAAGGTTTTCTTTGATGATGTTGATTCTAGCAATTGAAATTGAACAATTTCTTCCCCTTATGCAGACTTGGAGATCGCTACCTGATTCAAATGAGGTCCTAAAAGAATTTCCAGGCGTTGTGGTGAGCAGTGCAGAAGCAACCCTCGACCAACTAGCTGCATCAAATATGTTTTTTATAGCTAAGCGCAAACATGCCAATCAGGATGTATTCTACTTCTCGGCCAAGATCCCTCAAGGGGTACCTTTCTTGATTGAACTTACAACACTAATTGGAAACCCTGGTGTCAAGTGCGCAATCAAGACTCCAAATCCTGAGATGGCACCACTATTTTTTGAAGCCATCGAGACACTGCTGAAGGCTTGATTCTTTTCCTCTTCGTGATTTTGAAATAGTATTAAATTGTCATTGTATGTAAAATTCTTCTCAGCAACCGAGGTTTTGGATTCACATTCTTGCTAATCTCCCTCTTTTGCCCCTCTCTCTTAGTGACAAAAAGAAAGTACGGGGAGAAAGAAAAAGAAAACGATCCCTGCATGTCTCTTCCAACTTTAGTTTCTTTGCCTCTATTAATTGTAAGTGTTCTCCATTTTTAGCGTGTATTTAATGGCTCAACTGTTCGATCTTCATTTCTTTTTGAAAAAAGTTGAACATATAATTGACTGAAATCGAGAATACAAAATTTTGACGTGGCAGCTGATCAAGCAGCGATTTCATTTTTTTTCCCTAGTTACTTGAAGTTGAAAGAAGGATTTGAATTTGAAAAATTAGTATAGATGAGTGATAAAGCATTTGTAATTTAATTTTCATGATTAATTTTATCAAGTTTATGTAGTTGTGAATTTGAATTATTTATATTTATTTATTTATATATGAATTTGAAATTCATGGTTATACTTTTCAAATATATAATCGTATTAAATCTAACTAATTTGTGTATAATACGTGTTTTTCACCCTCATAATTTATATAATAAATGAATTTTCAAATTCATTTTTTTAAAATTCATTTATTCGAACATAGCATTAATAAATTTCAATGATTTTATTGAGATAAAATTAAAGTTAAATAATTCAAATGAAATTTTTGACAAAATTTAATAATTAATGGTAGAATTTACTCTGATTTTATGGGTTTACTTATGAGAAGGAATTACAATTATTTATTATTTACAACAAAAAAGCCCCTGCATGATGTAAATCAGAAATCGCAATTTGAAGTGGTGATAATGCGAAGATGACATTTATTGTTATTTTACGAACTTGATTCTTACACACGGATTAATTGCTGTCTGTCATTTACAAAGAGAATTTTGTAATGGGTTTGTTGAATTTAAAGTGTGTTTTCTTCTTCTTTTATTGGCCAATGGTTCTTGCTTCGTCTTTTTTGGTTACTATGAAGTAAACGTAATGTCTTCAAATTTGGAAGCTTCTTCAATGTGTCTTCTACAAATCTCTGTCCTTATACCTCTATGTTTGTGTTGAGTTTCAATGTGAAGATATTTCAAAAGGAATAGAAAACAGAAAGAAAGCAGTCAAATGTAAAGATAGGGAGTGATCCCTGTATTTATATTCTAACATGCAAGTCAAAAATCAGGATGAAAGAAGTCGAAAGAAGAGAAAGGAAAAAAATTTAAGATAAGATGAAACTTAAGATGATAATGCTTTGATGTCTATATTTATAAATGAGAGGTGATGGATCAATAGAGGACAATAATGACGTGATAGAGCTTATGTGATACTAAATGTATCATATTGATTTGACATGTCAAGTATGTGCAAATGTTTGAAATGTCCCTAACAAGCCCTAATGAAGAAAAAAGTCATTATACATTTTAGACTACTAAATGTCCATAACATTCTGTCCCTTTACCTTGCAATATGAATTTTAGACTATTGGGCGTGCTATTAGTTCATTTCATGTAGGTCAGTTAGCTTAAAAAAGGTCACGAAAGATCCAATCTCCTATGGTCAGGGTCTACACGAAAGTCAGCATCAAGAGACAATTAACCTTTTACTACAACCCAAGGTGATGTGGTGTAGGCTGACTTGGTGTGAGTCCGATCTTACACGTGTACTCTAAGTTGAGTGCATGACTGATTTGAAAGTTGCCAAAATGTCATTTGTTTGTTATGATCCGATATTAAGATGGGAGCTTGCCTAGTCGATATGGGACTTAGACGTTTTTTCAAAAGTTTGGATTTAAGTCTTTGTTTTGAATTCTGGTGATGAACCAACCATCGGTTCACCAGGCTAGTTTGGTCTATAGAGCTGTTCGATCTTATCGAGTCTGGTGGTTGAGGTTACATTAAATGAGGAGAGAGATAGTTTATGCAGTAAATTTTAAAACGAGGAAAGTAAAAAAACATCTTCAAATGGCACTCTGACACGTGGCATGATTTAGGCCATTTATTTTTTTCTAAGGTGCAGCTATATAAAAGGTTATTGAGGCTTTCATTTTTCACCTTTCTACTTTTTTGCTCTCTATCTGATCTAAATTTTTCGACCTAAGAAGCTTTTATTCTTTCTAACCTTATTATTCTCTTCTTTTCATTAGCTCTCTCTATTTTTCTTGGTACGTTATCTCTTCATCATGTCTTCTAGTTTTAATTCTAGAGAGACTAGGGGTTTTAGGATAGACTTAAAGGGTCAGCTCTAGTAAGACAATGATGACCTAGTCCCACTAGTTATCGGAGGTCAGGACTATCATAACTGTGCTTATTGGCTCAACCTAATGTTCAAAGAAAGACAGAAATAGAATGATGAAAATGCTCAGGCAAAAGAAAAGCAGGTCTTGAGCACGGAAAAGTTATGTGCTCAATTAAATTTTGATTTGAAGAATCCACTTCCTTTCCATGTCTCTTAAGTCAATCCATCTTCTATGGCTACCTTTTTTTATCTTTAGTTCCTTCCCATTTAGGGCCCAAGTCCATCAATTTTCTTCTTTTTGGCTCTTCCACCCATAAATGCCCTCGTTGTTTCTTCTATTCCTCCTTAGTCAACTCTTATTGGCATCACTTTTTTCTTCGAAAGGTCTCATCTTCCTCTTTTTTCGCCTGAGGTTGTGGTGCTCTCAATCACTCCTTCATCTCTACTCCTACTCAGAAGTTTAAGTCTTCTGACAATGAAGACTCTAACGACAAGGAAGGTTCTGAAAAAAAAACAAGAGAAATAGGGTGCCCCAATAGGGAAGATGGTGACGAGGAAGGGAATTCCTCAAGGCAGGACAAGTTGGTCGAGGTTTCAGTATATACTCCTTGTGACCTCATTTATAAACCCCAAGGACACGATAAGGGAATTGAAAGGCAGGGTCAATCCTGAGGACTGCCTTAATATGTGTTCAGCTTATCATGTCTATTCTCTAGTGACAAATTTTCATTTTCCCAAATAGAGGTATAACATATTATTGTCGAAATCTTCAAATCGAATCACCAATAAATTGGAGTTACATCGGCTCTAAGTATATTGAGATTTGTTCATGGCCAGTATGAGGTTTTCACTTCATTCTTATTTGATTCAATTTTTAATTTTTATAATTTAACTATCAGTTATACGGTACATAGTAGATTTTATTATTCTTTGTCAACACTTAAATATTTTTCTTAATCTTCATCTATTCAAAAAAAATTTTCTATTAAGCGATAAAGGTAGTATTATGTCACAGCTCGGCCCAATAAGAAGCTATCCGCTAATTGCTCGAGCTCCATCAAAAATTGGAAGTAGCTTTTTCTCTACCTTCAAAAATCAAAACAAAATAAAGATGACTAGATCGAGGTTAAGGTCGAGACCAAGGTCGAGTTAGAGGCTTGGAAAGTAATTAATGAGCCCGACCAATTTGTAGATGTGCCTATTGCTCTCTCCATTCTAGACCTATCAGATCAAAATAAAATAATAAAAAACACCCATATAGGAAACTCATCATAAATGCCCATGAGCTGACCTCTCCCAAAATAATAAATAAGATGAAGTACTGAGATAAGTGTGAGATAACCTCATAGGATCTTTGTTTCATTTTTTTTTTTATCTAACTCTTAGCTTAGTTTTACAGAGATATCTTCTTCTAAGAATGTAGGGATGTCAATAGGTAGGGTATAGGTAGGGTAAAGCATTTTTCATCCCCATCTCTAGATTTTTATACTATACATATCTTCATACCCATACCTACGAAGTATTTTAAATTTATCCATATCTCTATCCTCATGAGTATTTAATGGACATAGATAACCCTCCTTAATCCCATAGCTTTTAACAAAAAACTAAAAACTAAAATTTTTTTAACTTTTTTTATTTTTATCTTATATATTTAGGTAATTTTTTCTAAATATATATTAATATATATTTTTTCAATAAAAATATATTAATTTTAATTAATCTAAAATAATAATTTATATTATTTAATAAAAAATTTATATACTAAATATATATAAATATATATGTACGGCATGGGTACGGGACGGATGCTATATTACCCATTCTTATCCCTATTCTCATACATAATAAAAATTTAAAATCACACCCATCCCATCCCCATACTCACAATGTGATACCTATCCCCATCCTTATTTTGGTAAAAAATTCAAGTTTTCCATTAGATATGGATAAGATTGACATCCCTACAAGAAATACTTTAATTTTTTCCTCTTTTAGCACAAGCCCAGACCTAAAAAGGCTAAGAGCAAAAAGATCTAGCTTAGAGCCCCTTTTCATTAGGGAATAAAGTCATCAACTCCCACAGTGGGTAAGCCATCAAACTCCTTAACTCAGCACTCTCCCACCAGTAAAAAGCACAAAATCACAACCCACCCGAAGCACTCCTCAATAGCTCTCCCACCTACAAATAAGCCAAAGATCGAGCCCTTCTCTTTTACCCTAGAGAATTTAGAGTCCGGGGCATTAAAGCCCAACTTGAAGAAGGTTTGCACAAGGCTAGAGTATACTCCAGTTGATAACCCCCTTGAAAACTCTGATGTAGTTAGAAGGTTCTATAAAGCTGTAGTTCTTCCTAGCAATAAGTATCGTTTAACCTTAGCTCAACTCATTATTATTCTATTTTTTATTTTACTAAGTCTAAGTTCATCCTATGCAGTCTTTTAAAAACCCCCTACACCTATAGACAACACCTCCGAAGCTCTCCATCATGCATATCTAGCCATGATCCACCTACTCAAGGTCGAGAAAAATTTAATCATCTTGAGTGAAAAACACCAAAAAAGCTCAGATGCCTTAGGCAGCGTGAGGTCTAACCTCAATGCGTCTTACAAAAAAGAGGTCAAGTAAAGGAAAAAAATTAACTACCCAATGGCCAGGCTAGAAAACGTTCATATCAAGAAAGCCTCAGTAGAGTCTATAAGGGAACAAGCTGTGTTAAAGCTTAGTGATGCTTAGGTTTCAATAGCGAGGCTAAGGTCTAAACTAGAGGCTAAAAAGAAAGAAATGGAAAAGATGAAAAAGAAAGTCATTAAAGAGTTCAAAACCTATGAAAAATTCCTCAAGCTCCAAGTGGAATTCTCCAAAGAGAACGTGATCAGTACCTTTGAGCTGGTGAAAAATAAGGTACAATTTAAATTTGCCAACCTCAATCTTGATTTCTCTGATATTAACTTGAACAATATCATATCGAGGCCTCCTCC